TATATATATATAAGGGCAAAAGGGATTCGTTTCACTTTTTCTGGAAAAGTTTCTTTTATTTCTTTATTGATAAAGGAGTCAGTTGCAAGATTGATTGCTATAGGGTTTGTATTGAAAACTTGGCATAGATTTCATTCTGACTCAGTCTGTTGCTGTTTAAAATTTTTATCCAAGGAAAAACAAAGGTTAGTGAAGGTAGAAAAATCAATCCTGTTCTTCCTGGACCTTCACTGGAGGTTGTTTTTAATAGTTAATAATATTTCTTTTATTTCTGTAGGCAATGTTCAGTCTCTGCATGGTTGAAAGTGAAGCTGATGAAGTGAATTTGCATGGTGTCACAAGCCTCGGTTTAAAACAGGCCTTGGACTTTGCATATACTGGACAGGTACTGTACAGTTCTTCAAATTAAGAGAGACAAATGAAAGCAAACTGCAATAAAAACTGAAGATGACCTTTACAAAGGTACTAGAAATTATTTTTCTTGTGCACTGCCCTGTACAAGGTCTTTTGATTTAACAGATCTTACTTTGGATATACTGGGGTTTTTGTTTTGTTGGGGTTTTTTGTTTGTTTGTTTGTTTGTTTTCCTATAGAGGGATTGTCTAATAAAAACACTGTTTATGTGCGTTGTTACCAGGTGGTGGTACCATGGAGGACTTGTATGCCCCTCTATTCATAAGAACTTAACATGAGTTGATTCTGCATGCTAAATAAATGTAAAGAGAAGAAAGATACTCTAGGTGTTTTCCTAATAATAAATATTTATAAACTCTGCTGTGTTTGACAGATTATATAATTGAGAGGGAAAGTAGTCTTTTACTTTCTGGACAGATGCAGTCCAAGCATCTTTGTAAATGCTTATGGGTACTCTGCATTGTTATCATAGCACTTTTTATGATAGCAGGTAATGCATCACATTATGTTACTTCAGAGAACGTAGAGTGGTGCTCCTCTCCCGCCCCCACACCTCTACAAAAAACCCCATCTGACATAACTGTGTACTGCATGCTTGGGCAGTGTTGCTATATGACTTTATCTCAGTCCAGAGTTCGTGGACAGTGAGCTCAGAACTTCTTAACATCCATCTCTTTCTGCTTTGGACTCTAAAATTACTGATAACCAAACTATTTCTGGAAATATTGCTAAAGGAATTTAATTTATTGATGTATACTTGTTTATTAGTTAAATCCATATTATGTTATTCTGGAAGAGTTGTTGGGTTATATGAATTTAAGGCATCTGTTTCTGTACTGTGGATTGAGTATATGACCTTAATTTTTTCAAAGGGAATTAAATAGATATAAAGTAAGAATTTTTTTTTAACCTGTTTTAAAGAAGCTGTTTTTGTCACCAGCCCACACAACAGTCGCACTTTAGCACTGGCCTTAGAGATTAGCACTTGAAATTTCTGTGTTTCTGCTATTATGGAAAATATAATTTATTCAAAGATTATTTCATATAAAGAGACAGAGATGCCATTCTATATTACTGAATTGCCTGAAGATCTAAGTCCATGGCTTGTCATCAGTATGCTTTCTGTCCTTTCAGTTGAAAGTTTTGCTATACAAAATTGAATGTTTCCTGTGCTGTGGAGCACCTGTGTCATCATTTCAGACTTCAGGTTTATTATTCTGAGAATAGAACTCCTGTTGCTAAATAGAAGTATCCAAAAGATACTTTCCAAAGTCAGTTTTGAGGAGGTGGGTTGTAATTGACTTCTATCAGACCCATGCTGTATGCTGTGAATGGAGGTACACTCCCCTATCTTTCAGTGCAATTCAGAGTCTAATAAAACTGTGTAAAATATCTTGAGAAGCCTGAAAGGATGGATTTGTGTTTTTTATAAGCCAACAATCCACCCCACCTTGCTTCCAGGATAGTATCCTCAGCTCCTAGTAAATAATATGTGCCTTCTGTCCTTGATCCTTTCGAGTCTTTCATTTTTAGGTATAATCTACTTTGAATAAATGAGTGGACTTCTTGAGTTAAATATAGGTGTGCACGTATATACAGTTGCTTATATGTATAAGTGATTATGGGGCAAAATTTGCACTCTGTCGTGTCTATCAGATACAGGTGCTACTTCAAAGCACAGAGAAATGAGAAAACTCTCTAGGAGTTCTCTTACAAAGATGCCTTTGAAGCATAACTCAGTGATATGTAGGTCTGAGAATTGGCAGTGTCAATTTTTCCCTTTTCTCCTTGAAATTCTTTTCTGGCACTTGCTGGCACTGCTTTTATATGTGTTGAGCATTGCTTATGTACTGACTCAGGCTGACAGAATCCGGGTGACTGTTTCAACGTAGTGAGTGGGAGTAATCCACAAAGGCTATTAATAAACAACTGGATTACTGCGTGCTTACATCAGAGAGAGTTCTGAAACCAGGATCGTCTTTAGTTTGGGTCTGTGAACTCTTTCTTGTTTTAAAAAACAAACAAAATATTTCTTAGTAACCCAAAACTCATTCATGCCAGTTACAACTGTATATTGCTTCGATAATGTAGGTGTCAAGACATGATCTGATGTGCCCCTTAAAAGTGAAAGCCATGAACTCTCTTTCCTTTTTTCTTTTTCTTTTCCCTTTTCCTTAACATCTTTGGCCAAAATGTTAGTCCTAAAAATTGCTATTTCTTTAGGTAACACTATGGAACTGACAACAATTTAGGGACAGTCCTAAGGTATCCACGTCTAAACAGATAAATATTTAGTTTCAGTTTTCTTCTCTTTATTTCTTTAATAATTTTTCTGAATCTTGCATTCAATTTGAAGTGTAGTAACTCAAATGTAACTTTATGTGTAAAATAATATATTGGAGACATCTGGTGGAAATATTTAACATTGCATGATGGCAATATTTGATGCCTGCGGTTTTTGAAAGTTGTCAGAATTAAGAAATTTAATTTTTAGCATGACATTGCAATCTCAAATGAAACTCTCATCCTTGCATTTTTTTTTTTTTTAATTTGCAATGTGCTTCCAGACTTAAGATACCAATTTTATCTTCCTGTCTACTTAGTGCCTTTTCAGAATTACTGGTGGAAATATTTTGCTTTTAAGGGAAAATTGGTTGTTCAACAGAAGAAAAGATTGTAGTAAAACTCAAGTTAAATATAAATAACGTCATAATATGGTCCCTAATGATCACAAAGAAGGAAATGTTGGTATAGAAATAAATAGCTAACAAAAGGAATAAATCTTTGGCAAAAAAATGTCTTAAATAGCTTCCCTCTTGGCCTTTGGTATTTTACCATGTACTTCCGGTATTCAGAATTCAGAGATAAAACTCTCTTCCTGTTGCAGTTGATACATCCTTTCTTCATAAAAGGGCTTTAAGGTCATTCTCTCTTTTACTTCACAGCTGGCAGCAATAAGGCCAGGCCAGAGTCTCAATGACTAGATTACTCATCCTTCATCCTCACAGGGGCATTTTGCAAGTATCAGCCGTGCATTGGAAGGGGGGTGGATGAAGTACAATCAGTACAGGAACTATATATTTTAGATATTAATATAGAGAAACAGGTCTTGGTGCAGGGTTTGGAGCTCACAATTCCTTCTAGGTAAGAGTCTTAACCACTGGATTAGAGAGTCATGGACACAGTTGCCTGCTCTTTTTGACCTTTTTGTTAGTTTGTTTTTAACTGTTCTGTTACCAAGAAACATAATCTCATTTGGAGGAATTGGGATAACCTCTAAACAGGCCACTGTAGTTGGGTCACTCATTACAAGAAAAGGTGCTTTTGATCAGAAGAAAACCTTTGGGCATTTGAATAGTTTCAGTGCTGAAAGCAAGGTCTTCTAAGTGCCATGGGACTGAATAAGTGGTTTGAACTGAAATTTTGAGACTCCTCATTTTACTTGAGGCTCTTGCATTCCTCCTCAAATTTAGGTCTAGCAAACTACATATTTTATGTTGATCTCATCTACATATATAAAATCTAAGTGGTATTATAATTTGAATTGGCTGACAGGCACTGTGGTATAGTTTCAAGAAAGAAGAATTGTGCAAGAACACTGAGTTTAATTGGCAGTAGGTGACTGTGATTCTAATTCAACAAAAATACAAATACACAGTTGGAGTCCTATGTATACTGAAATGCTTCACTGACTTGGATCTTTCTTCTTTGTATTTATGTTCTATCATATGTCTTTAGTCTGGTAATAGAAATATTTTGCATTTAGATAGAATTTTGTTTGAAGACCTCAAAGCACATTACAAAAGCAAGTAATCACTGTACTTACTTTGTTACATCATAGACAGGAAATTATTTTGGGAGGAAATAACTTTCCAAAGACCATACAGCAAACCAGCAGCTTTAATAACACTTAATCCAAGTTCTCCTGACCAAGTCCTGTTTTCCTAACTGGCTAGGGTCTCTTTTCTTTTTCTAAACCATAATATTTTGTTTCTGTATGAATAGAAATTAAGTTGTCTTCCTGAAGTTATAAAATTATTCTAAAGAATCAGTGAGGGAGCATTAATATAAGAGAGATTTTATGTTAAGCTCTTTCTCCAAAAGCAAATTTTGGGGTAAGTCACCTGTCTTATCTTCTTAGCCCCAGATTAACACAGCCTTACACCCTGCCTATAGAAAGAATATTCAAATGTTTTCTCTCCTTGAAAGCCACATATGAAGTTGCATTTATAATGATTTGAAAATAAGCTTTAAACTTTTTCTGTTTCTTAGCATATTTGACAGATTTTCTTTTACCCACAAAATGCTAACATAGCAGCAATTTTTAATAAAGGTGCTATCAGTACGTTATTCTAGTTACAAATCTAGAACTTAATGGTATTTTCAGATATGTTGTTATTTCATGTACTTGGGTTGCTCTCAATATTACTTTAATGCATTATCAATGTGAATCCTATTTAACTACTGCCTTTATTTACTAACTTTATCTTCTATTCAGTTAGTTAAAAGCCTGTTATCCTGTAACAGCTATCACCACTTTACCAAACAGGTTTCGTGAACTGATAGGAGAACCATCTGGTGATTTTTCAAATTCATGCACACAAACCTACAGTTAGTTAAAGTATTACCTTGCAGCTCCTTTATGAAATTGTTCTTTTACTTTTTTGGTCAAATAATTCAGCTTAGTTATTTCTTTAACAAAAAAAAAACATGAAAGAGTGAAAGGTCTTCTCAGATAGTGAAGAAATAATAGAAATAAATATTCGTAAGTACAACTACTTCTGATTACTGCTTTAATTTCTTTATAGAATCTTGGTTTTACTCTCATCAACCCCGTCTCCCCTGTAGCTTGATGGTGATGGTGTTTTTCTAGTGGTCAACCAGTATTTCATCTGCCATTTTCAGTTAAGACCAGGGAGAGATGTCTCTCAATATCTTAGTACCTCTTATTCTGTTAAACCTTTCTAGCTG